ACTAAGCTATAGTAGGCTAGTGCACTATCCCCCACCAGTTCGTCTCAGCAACCCCCGTCCACAGTTGGCCGTATCCATCTGCGCAAGCCCCTCCCACTTCCGGGAACCACAATAGAGATCGTCGTATAATCGCGACCTCCTCCCATCCGCAAACTCTCGGGAACAAAGACCTACAGTATGACCCGTCCAATTCTCACCAGTTTTGGGGTCTCCGGTGATTCTTAACTCCTCGACCTGGAATGACGACTCTGACCCCCCCCAAACCTTGGCCCGAGTAATATATAAGGAGATACGTACCCCATCCGTGTGTCGAACATCTGCAATTACAGTATATTCCCGACGTATGAACCCCACCCAACACAGGAACGAGTTAACCTCCACCAAAGAAATCCGGACCTGTCTCTGGAAAACACGACCTGGGCTGAGTCCTCCGTGCACCCAATGGCCTTATCGTACCGCACTGTGCGAGCATCGCACAAACGGCGAGGATGGGAAGAACCTCGGGATGGACCCAACTTCCGGTTGGTGCTGTAATGAGTACGGTAAGGAAAGGAGGAAGGGAGGAAGGAGGAAGGGGAGAAGCTATTGGCGGGTCTCCCCTCCTACAAATCACGCCCTGCCACCATCTTTGGATGTCTTCCGGAGAGGAACTAATTTTCCCTCCATTCGCAATCGGTAAATCCCGCATCGTGGTTATCGCAAAATCAATGATGCTGTATTGTACAGTACAGTACTCGCACGAACCATCAACAATTCCCATACCCTACGAGTAAGTCACCACAATGTCATACTGTAAATATTATGATACCCCACTCCTCACTGTCCACCCAACCGTCCTTGCCAAAACCCTTATAAATCCAGACACATAAATTACCAATAATTTATACTTATGTGCAAGTATATTTGTGATTGTGTTCCCCACCTCGGACTCATTCGGTACCCCACAACCCGGCCCCTAATACCTCACTCCGACATCCACCCCTACTTACACACATTCTTTCCCCCTTTCCACGGCATCATCCCAAATTACTTCAAGTACCGTTACCAAGGCCCTCAGCCAGCACTACAATTTATCTACGGTTCCCATCGGGTCCTGTGCCAGTGCGGACGCGTGGACCATGGCACATCCCATCATATTGCACTCGAGTACCGGGTTTTTGTCTGGGTTCCTTACGTCGTCTTTAATATAACTTTAATCACTAAATTACCATCTTCTACCCTGCTGCGGGCTTGCCGGCTGTTCTACGCGGATTTTCGGTACCGGTAGTCCACTCAACCTAGGGTTGGTCTTATCCAGAAGATTGAAAAGGTATGCTTCGTGTCCCTAAGAGTTATGTGAACACAACTCCGATTCTCGGCTGTAAGGGAAGACTAGTGAGGGCCTGCGAGAACTTAAACATGGTGGTAATTATAAAGGCTTAGCATCGATTTTTTTATCTACTCCTCATGAAATTACAACATTAGTTACAAACACGGCATAAGAGAACCTCTACGCTCTGACTTCAAAAGCGCCTGGGAACTCTCCTAGGTTCTTTATCAGGTTCCACCCTGAAGCCCCCAGCACACTCACGAGCCTTATCAAATCCCCTGCCAGACTCCCCCCTGCATCCGCATCCTTGATTATATCTCCACAGATGGCCATGACCTCCTTTGGCTTCTCGAGGGATATATATCCACCCGCAAGAGTGAGTACGGGTATTCCCCGTCCACTCTGGAAGAAGTTTGCCATCGCATCGCTCCATGGTTGGTCTACGTGAACAAGCACATCTAATGGCTGGACGGGGGCGGGAGCGGGAGTTGAGGATTCAGAGTTCTGACGATGAATGCGCATCACGGCCTGTAGGATACCGTATGCCCATAACACTAAGCCAGCATGGAAGAGCACCAAGGGGAGATAATTGACTACTGTTGGAAAGGTCAGGGCACGCTACCAACAACCGTGGAATTTTCCCAGGGGCTTACCTCTTTTTTCGGCAACACACTTTCTCGCAAGCGTGAAAATTTGCCCGCAATGCCAAACAGCAAGTCGAGCGTCCTCCTGGTCAACCCACCTTTGGAGTACCGGCAATGCTTTCTTGGCCGCACTCGCATCTTCCCGCCCAGCCAACATCAGGATACCCTGTAAGGAACAGAAAAGAGCGAGTGCATTATAATGAACAAATATAGCACTGATATTGTTATCTCTATGCTCAGATATAGGCCCGAGCTCAGCGTGTAACGCCTCTTCACAGTTCTGGAGGATTCTCTGCAGCTCTAACTTTCTTGCTTCGACACTAGGGAATATCGCCTTTACCGTAGTTCTCGGAGGGGTTCGAATTGCGGAGGCATCGCATTCCCTAAACTCATATAAATCTTGCATTTGGCGCTGCTCGAATACAAGTGAGTGCACGACGGCCAAAAGGGCTCCTTTAAGAAGTTGGGAGGAGGAAATCCAGTTCTGGGATAGGACACCTCGACTACAGTCGTGGATAAAACGACCGGCAAACGTGCAGAAGGACTGGTCGAACCTGAGGTTAAGACTTGCGGAGTTGTATCTGAGCTCCTGTTTTGCTAGGGAAAGCCAAGCCTCTGCGGTCGGAGCATTCCAGAGGGTGTCGGATTGAGGTAATGGGAGACTCAGTTCTGAGAATGCAACAAAGTGAGGTATGTGCAGGAGAGCGCTAATCTGGGAATCCCATATCTGGGTACAGTATACGAGCCTAGATGGGCCATGATTAGGATCGTTTTAGTAGCATTTTTCGGACATGGTATCTCTACCTTTTTCGTTGCTCGTTTACACTCCATTTCATCCAGGTACTTTTTACAGAATCTGTCCGCTCGCTCAGAATATCTTCCAATGATCGATAAGTGCAAAATCGAAAGGCTTCAGCCCGCCTAATCATAGCCATTAAGGTCCCCGCGAAGGCTTCGGCCAACTCCATCTTTCGTTTTGCCCCAGCCCAACTCTGGCCTATATAGGTTATAAGGGAGGCTTGATGTCCCTCATAGTCCCGGATCCTACTGTTGTCGGATTCATACTAACGGGTATATATCAGCAATTTTAACCTGGCTGGTTAGAATGGTTTCCCTCACCCATTGCCCTAATGAGCGTCTAACACATTCTAAAATCGCGTAGCCAATCGCCTTGATGGATCGGGCTTCCTCCGATGCCCTCTGTTTCTCCTCATCCCCAGTCAACCCACTACTCCAGATTGCTCCTACCGCCACCATAACCGCGGTAAGTAAAATAAGTGCCGTATTGGGGTTGAAGGTCCCCCGGTGCAACAATGGATACTGAGGGTGGAAATACTTGAAGTAGCATTCAAGTGCGTCTTCCAGGAATTCTATATCTGGTAATGATGCTAAGTCCCGATCCCCCCATTGCTCACGTGAGTGGGCCTTAGTGAACATAACCACAATCTTATCACGGGTTTCACTGGTGATTGCTAATGATGGCAATTCGAGCATTGCGTCTCTCATCGAACGTTGGCTCCGAATAGGAAGTCGTATGTGTTTTCTGGGGAGTTGGGAATTTGGTTGTGCCCGTACGTTAATCATATCGGCATAGGTATCGCTAGATGTTGGGTTACGCCACACAATTGAGGATGCCTCGAAAGCCGCTGAATGGGTACCCAAGGTTTCTTCTGTACTGGATGGCTGGGATGTATCATGCGCCGGAGGCACCGGGGGCCGGGGCTGCTCTGGGATTTTGCCTTTGTCGACAAAGCTCTCACCTAGAATTTGTTTCGGTGGGGTTTGTTGGGATTCTTTCGGCTCCATTTGCTGGGGATTCGGGTCAAGACCTGGCTGTACCGGATTTGGGCAGTCTGCACTCGTCTCAAAATGAGAGGCCACGTTGAATATCATTGGAGGGAAGTTACTATCCTCAAATGAATCCATTTGAAGTGGGTGACTCTCCCGGTCAAATATGTTGAGCAGGAAAACGTCCAAATCTGCTGCACTCATCCCATGGTAGAAGTTGTGCATAGGGGGAGATTCGTTAGATATAAACATATTGCCTGTCCCACCTAGTGCTGGCTCTACATTCGAGGTAGGAAAAAACGTGCTGGATTCTGCACTAGCATCCGTAACATGTGGTGGGCTCTGAGAGCCATCCGGCTGTGGAGGATTTTGGGTCTCTGAGTCCCCTTCACCCTCAGTCACTCCTTCATCGGCCACAACGGCCCTCTTAGTACCCTGGTTGTAGCTTTTATGAACCCTGGACCCTCTGCTTGTATTCCCAACGGAAAATTTGCATTCAATTCCCTTTCGCAAACACCGATCACACGTCTGTTTTCCGGAACACTTTTGTTTCGACGCCGCACAATTCTTGCAGGCCGCGAGGGATCGTGGGGCAATCGCACGCCGTGAAACCATTGTATCGGGCCGAGATGGATCCAGGTGGTTTCTTTCATGCCGAGTCAGAAGATCTCGGCGGGAGAATGATTTCATGCAGGTATGGCATTTGAACGGCCGTTTGTTAAGATCTGAATGATGAGGTCAATTAAGCGACGTTTGCCGGTCCAAGGAGAAAACATACGTGACATTGTGTGCCGTTCCAAGTGCTCCTGACGCGTGAATGTATCTTGGCATATTTCGCAGACATATCCTCCCATCTTGTCTGATCCCAACACAGCCGTTACTAGAGGATCGATCAATTTTTTTGTGGTGCAGTTCGGTGGCTTTCGTGTTCTGGAAGGGGACAACGCTTCTATAGCTAGAGTAAGGTGGAGCGTTAGCCCAACAAGCGACAGGAGAAAAAATGAGACTTGAAGAAATAGGGATTGAACCTTGACAATCTAACCGATCCTCGGTCTGTCGGCACCCTTAATAAGAACTGTTATTTATTTAGGCTTTCTCCTCTTCCCCCCCCGCTTTGTGGGTGCGCAAGACTCGAGAATACTCGTGGAAACCAGCGTCGCGGGCTGAACAGCGATACGGTAGTGTGGAGAACCTTGCAGAGTCTGCTGCTAGGTTTCACCTTGCGCCTATGCGCGCCGAACTGGTCTTGGGCAAGAAGTATCCGAAAACAGGGATTAAAGAAATATGGTAAAAAAATCTGTGCATGTTGCAGCTGAGCGCTGATATACGGCAGAATTCTCGAGTATACCCTCCTATTTCCGGTTACTTCTTGCCCGGGCCACGTACCAGTACCCCAGTCTCCCTCCAGCGCAGTTGGTCGTGGGCACCAGACAAGGGGGTTACTCTTCTGCACAGTACCAGCATCGTTCCTCCTCGACTAGATAACCAAAACGGCTTCTGGCCCCGGCCAACCAGTATGCCGGTATTGTACTGTCTGGTCAGTTTTAACATGGTGATACCGGTACTCAATAGCAGGATTTTACCGGAATCATAATTGCTTTCACCGCTAAGAAAGCTTGTACTTGTACTGTACAGTAATACCTGTAGCCTATGTAAGATAAAATTTTTTTTATCTTCAAGGGGGATAACTGTAGCTTGGCAATCACTCTGTGGTTTATGATGTGATAGTAGTAAATAAGGGGCTTTCGAAGGAAATATGACCTGAGCATCTCGTCCCAGAGTTGTACGAGAGGAATGAAAAAAAGGGGGGGGACAGGATCGTTTGTCATACCGACACGTTACGAGGAAGTCGTGATGTTTTTGGTGACGAATAGCAATAGCTCGGAGCAGGTACTCCAACTTAGGAGGTGACCAAGAATACTCCTGTCGGGCTCATCTGTACCCGAGTATGATACTTGACAGGTTGTTGGCCATGGTGGGTTTCTACGGTAACGATACCGTGGCGGGCTTATTGGGCTCGGGTATCTCACCATTGCAAATCTCTCGCGTTACCTCTTCGGGTACTGTACAATTTATTCGTGAAACCAATCCCGCGATGAGCTCTACTCTTGTATCGCGAGGGACGTCTAGGCTGGAGCCAGGGGACTTTGGCAGGGAAAGTATTGTTCGACTTTGGCCCCGGTAGGGTACGGTATTCAGCGAACACTCCGATAAGAACTGAGTCTCTATTGGACTCCCTACAAATCGATAGAGGGAGGGATAAATACGTCGCCAATTTTCATGGGGACATTAGCCTCGATACCGAACTGCATGATACATTGCAGAACCTGTACAAAGTTACGTGCGGTGTGTCTTTTGAAGACTGGCAGTTATCCGGCTAGCAAACTCCGGGCGAGGACTTGCTGAATCTCTGGACCATAGTTCAATTTCATCTCGACAAGAATATTTGGCTGTAACTCCCAAGCTGCACTCATACGACCGGTAATACTGGTAGGTTAGAGCTGTGAATTGAACTTGGGTCCAAATTTTCATGCCGGGGTGCTCGAGTACTGTACTGGTACTGTACTAGTACCGGTTGAATAAAAAAACTCGCTAAATCCCATCATCGGATATTTTGACAGAAAATCACCGTACTATGCATACAAGCATACTAAACTGCAAGGGGCTTAGCAAGAGTAGATTAACAGGATAACAAATACAGTTAATGAGATGTGAAAGGCCAAGCCTTCGAAAGCTATACTCCATCTGGAAAACACTATTCCTTATCAGGATGAATTGATTCTGATCGGGGAGATCCGAGATATGTCCAAGATGGCGGATTTAACGAGTTTTTACTCTCTCCCGTTGATCGACTCGGCGCACTTTCCAAACCACTTGCATACTTGGCGATTTATGGTATTCGGACACCTTGGATTATCAGTACTTGTCTTGGCACTGAGCGTCCCAATACTTTACATATGGCCAAATAAGGGCCTGGTAATATGCTGATCCCTATTGCGGTAGTTTCTTTAGAAAATAGCCGTTAAGGGGCCTTTCACAGAATACTTGTATAAGCCGAGCACAAGGAGACCCAGGAGAATCAACGTGCCATCACTGAGCCAGACGAATGTCCACCTATTCTGGTTACAAAGATCTCCACTACACTGCGCTCGTACTGTACTAGTACAGTGGTCAGAAGCGCGCAAACAGGGGCTACAGTGCTATACAGTACTACGCCGTTGCCAAAATTGTAGTGGACTTCCATTGACAGTCTTGGGTCACCTACTTGAGTGCTCGGAGAGTCTGATTTTCTGATCGTTTCTGGAGTTCTACAGGATCAAGAAAGGGAAGTGTGTGTTTCTACGGATGTATAGTAGTTTTGGATTGATGTTTTTATATCATTTATCATTGCATTTGTCTAGCTGCACTTGGTAAACCTATCATGTTTGCAGTTATGGCAGGAAGTTGTCCAAATGTATACATTAGCCACTAGCTAATGACACCTATCAGGCATATTAACCTATGGCATTGCAGGGGCAACCCAGCCCGATCCCGCCTACCCCCATAGCACTCGAGTACCGGTATCTTACACTCACACATCCGAAGAGTACCAGCACTCAAGCACTCCCTGCGCATCTCAAAGCAACCCGGGGGGTCGGCGACAATATGAGCCATCCCTAAAAGGGTTCACTGGCACTCACCAAGCGTAGTATGATAATCCTAGATCAATGCAGCTTCTCCCTTGCAACCCATTCTCTACAAAAACAAACCCAATGGAAAAAATCGATTGTGACGGCATGTTGTTACTTTCACTCCCATTCTCTTACTCGGATGTTGGATGGAAAACAGCCATCAATCTATCATTCAAAAGCAGATTCATCCCTTAGCGATAGCAAATCCTCACAACATCCCTGGAGGACGGCCCCGCCAGCATATGAGCTACAAATCGTCTGCTTCTTCTGTACTGTGCTCGCCCGTAAATTCAGATCATCTTCTGTTACGTTGTCCCTGCAGTGGCACCACCACCACACCTTCCGAGCCCTCATCCTAGCAGCAACTAGTCACAAGTGCTAGTAAGTAATGCAATGGATTAACCTTTGCCTAGTGCCTCTTGGGCCTCTGCCCCCTCTTGTTTCTCCATAATAGGCTCACAGGAGCATGGGGCGGGCCGGGCGGACCCAGACCAGAACCTGTGATTGCCACAGCCATAGACACAAGCTCTTGGTCCGAACTGTGCCTTCTCTTCATACCACAGGGAGGCAATGGCTCAGTAGCAACCCCAATAGGAGGCGCTACAACTTGGTATCCTAGATAACCAACTGTTCCAGCAGGGACAACTCTTCGCTGCAGGGAAGCGGCGATTTGACAGCCTTGGAAACTGAGTAAACACTATCTTCAGATGATGGATACGAAGGAACCGGTGGGGGTGGGTGGGGGCCCAAAACACTCCGTGTTAAAGGGGGACACCAAAGCTGGAAATTCTCACACACAGAGTCCGCTTCGACCCGACTGCCTGAGTAGACACTCAGTTGAAGCGTTTTACTGTGCTACGTGCCCCACTTGGCTCATCGAGCAATTCCAGGAGTCAGCAGTCGACTGCCGTTCCACTCCTCCAATGACAAAATCTCTCTAATCTTTTTGCCGCCCTCACCCCGTCTTGGACGGGCAGGACGACTAGGAGCGCGGGAACTTAACCTTTTCCCTCGATCAGCTGGGACTCTGAACAAATGGTCGGACGTGGTGCCCCGGCAGGAAAACGGCCCTTCTTGCTTTTCCCGTAGCACGGCAAGTTACGGCTGACACTGCATCTTATCCTCCCTCTTGGGTTTTATGCTTTCACTAGGAAGGACAGTTCCGTACGCCGCCGAGAGCATCGGAATTTACCACACTCGGCCTGTACTATCGGTACTAGTGCCGTCCGGACTCATCTTGTGCGACGGACCTGGGAGTTGGCATGGTGGGAGTGCTTTTTTTTTTACGGATATCGCACTCGAGTACGGTACTCGCCCAGCCGAAATAAGGCCCGATACCTTCCTACAGTGGGTGACCGGCGAGCCCATAAATCAGTAATGTGAAAGATGCTAAGCGGAGTTATGCAACTAGGTATACCAAAGAAAAGGCTGGCTTTTCCCAAAATTCATCTCAGCTATCCACCTAGATCACTTGATATATCTCTAATCCTGCACTCGAGAACTATCCCCATAAGCAACGGGATGTGAACATTGCGTATAAGTGGAGCTGGAATAGCATCTGGAGCTCCTCTCCTCAAGAGAGCAGCAATCCTAGTGCACGAGCGGCACGAAAATATAGCATACATGTGCAGGCTGCGCTGCCCATGCTCTAATCCTCAACGCACAGTATAGTGCTTGAGGATTAATAATATCTCTCAGAACATACCCAATCCTACCCGTTAATTCGCTCGCCGGTCACTATTCTACTCTAGCGGCCGGGTCTCTGGACACCCCCACAGTACTGATCAGTCTGATCTCTGGGCCAATAAATTCATGTCTTCAAAGCGCCAGGCCGAGTGGCATAATTCCATAATATTATAATATTATCGTAGAAAATAGGTTGTGGCATATGTGGTCAAACAGGCCCTTGTGAGGACTTGTTAAGCGCTTTCCCAGACTAGGATTTTCCAAAAGTATCAAGCATTTCACAAGAAGCTTTAAAGTGCTATCCGATAATGGAAACAGTAACTTCAATGGCGTGATAGGTTATCTGTTAATCAAATTCAATTAATCTTGACCACCAACCTGGATTTACTAAGCTAGGTACAGAAACACCTACTGCTAATACCTTCTATTAGGACTTCACTTAAGATCTTAAGGATTAGTATCTTTTCTAGTAGGTTTTGAGTAATTGTTAGGTAATGTAGCTGTCTATATCAATGACAATTGCTCAACTCTTGGTTCTAATGAAAAAGGGGGTTTGCTATCAGAAAATAATAGAAAATAAGAGTATAATATACTGAGGAAAGTAGATGATACAAGATAATGATAGAATATGTATTACAAGGATTCTGACTACCAACTTACTTGACTAGAATAATATTATAATAGAGCCCTTCCATCTACTCTTGTAAATATTTTAGACTTTATTTACCCTAGTATCATATGGTTTTTTGTCTGATATTGGTTCTAAATTTTGAGCTCAACTATATCAGGAAATTTATCATGTGACTGAAATTTTACTCCTCTTAGAGAATTCTAAATATCCACTCGGTATTATAACTATTAAGGATAGTTTAATTTACTAACATCAGTAGTACAAGTATTACAGTTTGAGATACTCTATGCTATTATGAGAAAGTTTTAGTAACAAAATATATAATTTCCTTTTTAATACTGTTGCCAGATTTAGTAATAAAATGTTCTTCAGTACTAAGTAGTAAAAATAATAATACAATATTATAGGCATGGTCGGAGCACTCGGTCCGGAGTGACTCACAAGCGTTGGAGCTGGAACCGTTGGTCGAGTGGTGACTTAAATTTTAGAATTAGCATGATGCTATAAGTTATTATACCTTTGTGCTCGTAGACTACCGTGCGGTACAGTATCCTGATAGGACCCTACGGGATTCTACGGACTCATGCTTGCTTATCTTGGACAGCTTGAGGATCTCAGACAAATTGTCTGACAGCCGAAACCCCACTACGGTAAGTGATCGGACCGTGTGCTATGTTATCGAAGATTCCGGACTCTTGGAAAGGGGCGGGAAACGCAGATCTTAAGTTATGCCAAAGGAGGCAACTCCGACGACATCGCAAATCGTCCAATTACTTCTTTCTCCAGTACCGTAACCTGCTACAGCGGGGCCCATTCGGCGTTTTTGATGCTGTCCATAAAGCTGATGCATGCCCAAGTGGTTCACATCAGCCTCCGCACCACCAATCTGCTTTCGATGTCTCTTTTAGATTTTTTTTTTTTTCGTTTCTTGCCTTTCCTGAACCCGGGTTTCTCCCGGATGCCCCGACCTAGAACGAAAGCCATACAACGAGACGGCGTACAAGACAGCACCGGATGCTAAATTCCCGGTATCGGTACACCATGTAGTTCTCGCGCTCGTACCAGAAGCGTTTCACTCGGGTAGCTCTCCATAACGAGCATTTATTGGGTACGGTATTCACCAGAAGGGGACATAAATCTCATAACATAAATCCAGGCATAATTAGAAATAATAACCCCATTCTTGGGCACTACACAGTGGTAGGAAGTGCCATTGGTCGCATTGACTGGCCTATAGCTTCTGCTCCTTCGCGACTTAGTCAACCACATTTTGAGGAGGCAGGCGAGCGAGTGATGTGTGCTATTCATATGAGAAAGTGCTTACCCTCATCACGTCCTTTCTCTTCTTTTAAGAACTGTTCAAGCCTCTCGCATGCACTGACGTATGCGTCATGGTTGTAGTTATATTCAGCGAAATGTAAGGCTGCAGTCACATCAGCAGTATGACCTGGAGGATGGGCGGGAGTTCTGGGTACCGGTGCGAAGCTTACCGTTATGCTTTTCTCTGCGTTCTGCGGGGCGAAGACCTAGCATTCGTGTAACATCTTGCACCCTTGTTGCACGTTCGTATCTACATTCCTGGTACAATTTAAGCCTATCTACGACGTCCTCCTTCTTCGTTCCTAGGGGAAGAACAGCGGCCAGGGCTACACCATCTTCGATTGCCTGTGCGCCTCCTTGTCCTTGATCTACCGTGCCATCGTTAAACCATTTCGATTATCTGTGGCACGGCCGGAACTCACATGGCAAGAGAGGATGAGCAGCATCGCCCATTAGCGCTACATTTCCCTTCACCCATGTGGGAAGTGCCGGCAGATCCAGAAGCTGCCAGAGCTTAATTTCGTTTACGGGCACCTTTGAAAGCAATGCAATTATAGGTGGACAGAAGTCTTTGAACACGTCCAGCATTTCCGCTTTATTTGCATCCTGACTCCAATCTTTCCCCCCCGGTCAGCGTGAAAAACCGAGGGGGGACATCGACGGAAACTCAAGGGGGAAAAAAAATACCTTCCTTATGAGAGCCGTTTCTAGTATCAGTGTAGCAGCACACGATGTTGAGGAGGAGATTATATCGACAGGGGTATATGACTACCCTCTTGTCGTCCGCCATCCATACTTGCAGCTTTCCCGTATTAGCTGCGAACTGTGCTGTCGTAGGATCCGCGAGGATTTCGCTGACGGGGAGTAGGAAACGGAAGGCGGAATGCCCACTAGGGAGTGCTGGACTATCTTCCCCGACGACTGCGGAGCGAAGAGTGGACTTTGCTACGGCGTCAGTCCTTTTCAACCAATTCTACAAAGAAGCTTACATGGACACCGTCGGCACCGATTATGACGTCCCCGCTATGCCTCTCCCCACTCTCCAGGATAAGTGTATTCTCTTCGAAATCAACACCCACAACCCGGCTGCTGGTAGCAATGGTTGCTGGGACTCCTCTCCCTTCATTCGCTATCGCTATTTCCTTCAATGCCGAATGCAGATCGGCTCGGTGCATCGAATGCGATGGCTGTTACATTTCTTAGCATAACCCTCATGGATTTTATGTGATAGGAGAATGAACATGACGGTATCTATCTGCTATCCCAGAAGCATCTTTCTCAAACACTAGTGATCCATCCGGTCTATACTCTGATATCCACTCCGTTTCTACGCCGCCTTTCATCTCGGGAACAAGGCCAAGCCTCCGTACAAGACAGTTCGCGTTCGGCGCTAAGTGAATTGCCGCCCCAAGCTCGTTCGCAAATCGAGATTGTTCAAAAATCTATCTTTGAGTAAGTTTATATTCACTATAGGGGTGACTGCGGATGCCGGTGGTTAGGGGGGGGGTCACTGTAACGCTATGGCCAGCTTGACGGAGCGCAATTGCGGCTGTCAGCCCACCGATACCGGCGCCGCTGATGAGGATTCGAAGAGGCCTTATTTCCGAATTGGACATGATTCTAGCTTCGCCGCGTTTCGTTCCTTGAGTAGAGTACTTTCGGAGAATTATTAACCAGCGACTCTTTTCCAAAAATTGCCCTTATCAAATTATTTGGGGGGGGAGCTCACGAGCAATCTTCCGATTTGGCCAGGAATCCATACGGAGCGCCGGCGCCATATAAAGGCTCTAGTTGGGTCTGGCTTGGAGATGGTACGAGTGCTCGTACTCGTACCGGGCGTCGTGGTGCCTAGCACCAGCCTACGAGTAGATCTCTTCCAGCTTCGCCCCGCGGAAGGAAGTTTTTTTCCATAAATTGCTTTTTTGGAAAACTAATTTTTCCGAGTGCCCTGCATTGGTCATAGTGCCAATGCCAGTGTTCCCCACCGCGGGAACAAATTGGCGACTCGAGTAGTTGAGTGGGGCCGATACTATACACCACCCGCTATCACTCGCCTAAGAAGCTTGACTACTACAGATACCAAGTCAGACTCGACTCCCAACGGGAAATACGGTGCTCTCATCTCCATAACTATCACAAACGACATTGGAAAAATTCGCGATATCCCACTTATAAAAAGCACTTGACCACCCCTTTGCGTGCACGATTTCATAAATCCATCCCCCGCATAGAACCAAGCTCTACCCCCCTCCCCGCTCAGGCAACTCTCGGACTTGTTCATACTACTTGTACACTTCTAGCACAGCGGAACACCCGGATGTACACACACACACCCGCATTCCTACCCCGAACCAAAAAAAAAAACGGCTATTGAATACCGGTATCACAATAGTAATATCCCTCACCCGCAGCATCACCTGCCGTGCAATCTCGTCTCAAGGGACAATGCATATATATACATTGATTTGTTATATTTCCTTGCTCCGTGTTCCTCGTCTTCATCTACAAAGCCTTACGATGATAAATTCCGCGAACCCGGAATATCGATTCTCCCCACGTGGTATCTAGGAAACACCGGGGACCGCGATTCAGGGCAATCGGCGGACGGACTTAGCCCACGCGCCGACGAATGGCGGCTACGCCAGATAGTGGGGCATCCGGGGATCCTTTAGATCGCCTGCCAGGTGTCACCACGCCTTTAATTAGAAGTGGTGGAACTAATGGACTAATGGCCCCCTGGATGGTGTCGCGAAATGTCACGGGATGGAACATGGTACTATTACCGTCAATCAAATTTATTATCCTGGTAATACACGTACCGTACCCTGGATTCCTTTTCGGCTGCGTACTCGTATCACCGGTGAATTTCAGCAAAGCGACCGGAGGAGGGGAAGCAGGACCGGCGACCGGGGGGGGGTTGGCCCTTGCGGGGGGAGCGAGTGACTAACTCACTGAACTGTTATGGTCGAAATAGGGACTTGAGAATTCCTTAGTTTCCTGTGGGATATATTTTGGTGGAATATTTGGTGCTTGGCGGTGCTGGTGTAGTGGGCGGAGGGGACTGAAAGAGGAATTGGAGTTCTTATACAATTAGAGGTGAATTGATCGATAGGCGAAGGAATCGCTAATTACAGTCACGGCCAAAATAATGGATAGTGCCTAACAAATATTGATACATGTATGATACTATGCTTTCCTAGAACGCCTACCGTAATGGAAAGCCGCGAAGAGTCTAATACAGTTCTAACGAACCGGGAGATAAAGTATACCGGGATGCAGCATCGCTTGTCCTCAGCTCAAGTACGAATACGGTACAGTACTCTATCTCTGCCGTAGTACAAAGCGTCAAAGGGGGGGGGCCTCCACGACCCCGCGGAGAAATAGGTCCAATGACCAGCCTCGGACGTTTTCAAGGAGACCAATAGCACCGCAAGTGATACCCTATCGGAGAATAAAACTCACTGTATTCTGATAGGTACAGTCCTCTCCGACGAAAAAAGGAAATTCCTGTTCCTCTCCTCTTCACATAGGCGTCATAGACCGTGTTATAGCGATATGTAATCCTAATGCAGTGTGAAAACAAGGAAAGGCTTGTAATGGTTCTGGTGCATACCACGCTTCTGCTTGGGACCCTTGTTACAATACTGCTGATGCTGCTTGGAGTTTGTGTTGTATCAAAAATCTTAATTCGGTGCTCTCCTCACTTCTGCTTCCTGCCCAAGCGGAGGCCTTATATACTACAAGTACATAGCAGTCACACCACACAACTATGGTAGTGATGAGGTGGTCATATCAGCTCCTGTATACAAAAGGTATATGATGATGTCAACTACAGGTAACCAGATCCTGAGAAGTCACATATTCCAACACCCCCACTCTTCGAAGGATCCATAGAAAGAAACAAAAAATAAGAAAAGAGGAAAGAACAGATGCCCATATTCTCCACATATAGTGCTTGTATAATCTCATTAAAAACCTCCCTCGGGCCTTTTGGATAGGCAGCTTAAGGGTAGGAAAAGAGTATCATGTACAGGTAGACATAAAAAAAAAAAGAAAATTCAATCCAATATACAATTAAGATGCTTGAGGGAGACGCAATCCCATGGCACCCAAGTGTCTCCAGTGTAATATCCGAGACAGTGCCTTAGTGAGGATATCTGCTGTCATCTGTTCAGTAGGATAGTGGGTAATAGAGATCTCTTGATTTTGTATAGCTTCATGAGTGAAGTGGCGTTTAAGGTCAATGTGTTTCGTGTGCTCATGAAATCATGGTCGGTTACTAAGATCAATAGTGCTCTGATTATCGACATTGATTTCTGTTGGAGGAAGAGGCTTTATTTGACTTAACTCTAAGTAAAGACCTTGAAGCCAAAGCGCCTCTCTGGTTGTTTCTGAACAAGCAATATATTCTGATTCAGTAGTCGAGAGAGCAACCATGGGTTGCTTCTTAGAGTGCCAGGAGACTGCTCCCCCAGCCATAAGGAAAACAAATCCTCCAGTAGACTTGCAGTCTTGTGGATCTCCAGCAAAGTCAGCATCACTGAAGCCAATAAGAGGCATAAGGGGTAGCTTGTCCTGGGCTCTCTCATATACCAGACCCAAGTGAATTGTTGCCTTTAGGTAGCGCAGAGTTCATTTCGCTGTTTGGAGCTAGTGGCAAGTAGCATTTGCATTATACTTACTAAGGTAAGCAATAGTGAACCCCAGATCCGGTCGAGTAGCAGTAGTGAGATACATAAGGCTGCCAACTAAAGACTGATATGTCTTCTACTCCTGTGCAGAGATAGGATCGTCTAAGTCTAGTGGTTGGGTTTCCTGCTCCAGAGGGGTCTGAACTGGATTGCAGTTCTCTATTTGAAATCTTCGTAGTATTGTAGAAATAAAGCGTAATTGGCTTAAGGTAATAGACTCTGGTCATTGGTTTATCTCAATGCTCAGGAAGCAAGTAGCTCGCCCTAGGTTAGTCATCTTGTACTTCCTACAAAGTAACATCTTCACTCGCTATATTTCAGAGAGAAGCCTTGAGACAAGCAGGATATTATCTACATAGAGCAGCAAGAAGACGTCGAAGCTAGAAGTATATAGGTTCGGGTCAAAGGATGAGTGTAGAAAGCCTATCGATTTCAGATATGTGTCAATCTCTTTATACTATAACAGGGGAGCTTGTTTCAACCCATAAAGGGCTTTAAGTAGACAGCAAACTACTAAGCTATTATCGCCTTCAGTATCTTTGACAGCACCTGAGTCGAGCCACTCAATCCCCTCTGGGAGAGCCATATACTCTAGTTCATCAATACTAGGATTCAAGAACGCTCCAATGATTTTCATGTAATCAGCATGATATCCATTCTTTGCAGTAAGAGCTATTAACATGCGCAGACTTGTCAGTAATGCTACAGGGGCAAAGGTTTCTCCATATCCCACTTGCTCATACCCTTTGATCACCAGCCTTGCCTTTGCCTTCAATGAGCCATCTGGGAGAGTCTTTGTTTGGTATACCTATTTGCACCCAATCATGGACTTGCCAGCTGCTGCGATTTCGCTTGTTGCTGTAACGATCCCTCCTTGGATAGTTAGTTCTTGGCGACGGGGAATGATACTTCTCTTTTTCTTCTGTTTCTTTCCTTAGTCTTATGATAGCACTAGGCCTTTGCCTACATTACCGATAGTACAAGACCTCTATCTTCTATTGGGAACGTCTATTGTAAGCTTTTGTTAGGCGGAGACAACCTGATAGACTTCAGAGTTGTCTAGGCCGATCGAGATTCGTTTTTATAGACGGAGATTGTCTAGGAAGGCTCAGACTTCACTCGTTTCGTTTATGACTACTAAGAGCGAAGTAAAGTAGGGTAAAGTAAAGTAAAATCGTAAGAACAATATTATATTGTTAAGGTCTCTTCTCCGTTGCTTTATGATGTCTAAAGCTTGGGAGGCACTTCGATATTTATATTCCGCGTCTGAGTATTCGCGGACTACATCTAACTAACATACAACCATGTACCTTTTTCCAATATAACTCGCAATGTCGGGTTTTCTTCCAAGGTGCGAATACCTGGAGACCCTGAAAATCATCACACCCTCTTTGATAATTATAATATGACTATTTGGAAGTCATGCTGTTTCCAATAGTAATTATCCGATGGTGAGAGTCTTTTTAGACAAATGGCCCAATTCTCAAGTCGAACTGTGTTGGCTCCAATCGTCTCCCTTGTCGACGAAATGATCAGTTTCGTCTGCGGGTTGCATCTGCGAAGATAGTTGTTATTACCGACTTTCTAGGTCATCTAACTTCAACTCTTCATAACTCCATACCTAACCGATAGATCTTTTCCGGAGGACTTCCTACTTGCCAGCAGGAAGCCTTTCCATAGGATTGGTAGATAATCCCTCGGTCGGTAACCCTTGGTTGCCGTGGGTAATAGGATTCTGTTTACTGTTACCGGTTTGGGAGTCACCCCTTCGGTTGCAGTATGTACCAGAACCTAGTTGTAACACTCCTCGAACTTCATTGGGTTCAATGGTAGTATTTTCAGGAGTTCCAGACTCTTCTGGTTATCGTAGGGTAGATGTGAATGTATTGGTCTTTCATTAAGATCCTTTACTATTCATCATCATCTCTTTGTGCGAAAACATCCCGTTACTTACGGCCTATGCCGAAGATATCTCGTTCTTGAAGCCTAGTAACTTTCTGGGTAGTTGACGGATTCACTCCGTTATACTTCCCAGACCTAGCTGAAGGTCCCCTCTTATATATCCTGCGAACAGGATCCGGTCGGACGGACGGCGGCGACGTATACGGTGTTATTTT